GCGCATTAACAATCGCAAGGTGATTTGAATGGAGCTTTAGAAGATTTTAACAAATCTTTAAGAATAAAATCAGAATGGTCAGAAAGTGAAGATATCCATATTAGTGAGTCTTATCTTAAAGTTGCAAGTATTTATGGCAATCAAAGCAAGTATAATGACGCTCTATCGATGTACAACAAATCACTGAAGATTAAACTAACACAACTTGGTGACAGTCATCCAAGTATTGCTGTAACTTATAGCAATATTGGGCAAGTCTATAATGATCAAGGCAAGTATGACGACGCTCTATCGATGTATAATAAATCACTGAAGATTGACCTAACACAACTTGGTGACAATCATCCAAGTATTGCTGTAACTTATTGCAATATTGGGCAAGTCTATAATCATCAAGGCAAGTATGACGACGCTCTATCGGTGTATAACAAATCACTAAAGATTAACTTAACACAAGTTAATAACAATCATCCAAGTATTGCTACGACATATCTCAACATTGGTGGTGTCTATATTCATCAAGGCAAGTATGACGACGCTCTATCGATGTTTAACAAGTCACTGAAGATTCGACTAACACAACTTGGTGACAATCATCCAAGTATTGCTGTAACTTATAGCAATATTGGGCTAGTCTATAATCATCAAGGCAAGTATGACGACGCTCTATCGATGTATAACAAATCACTGAAGATTCAACTAACACAACTCAATGACAATCATCCAAGTATTGCTATGACATATCACAACATTGGTGATGTCTATAGTGATTCAGGTAAGTATGACGATGCTCTATCGATGTATAACAAATCACTGAAGATTCAACTAACACAACTTAATAACAATCATCCAAGTATTGCTACGACATATCACAGCATTGGTAAAGTCTATAAAGATCAAGGCAAGTATGACGACGCTCTATCTATGTATAACAAGTCACTAAAGATTCTACTAACACAACTTGATGACAATCATCCAAGTATTGCTGTAACTTATAGCAATATTGGGCTAGTCTATAAATATCAAGGCAAGTATGACGACGCTCTATCGATGTATAACAAATCGCTGAAGATTCAACTAATACAACTTGATGACAATCATCCAAGTATTGCTACGACTTATCACAACATTGGTAGTGTCTATAGAGATCAAGGCAAGTATGACGACGCTCTATCGATGTATAACAAATCACTAAAGATTCTACTAACACAACTTAATGACAATCATCCAAGTATTGCTGCGACATACCACAACATTGCTGATGTCTATAATCATCAAGCCAAGTATGACGACGCTCTATCGATGTATAACAAATCACTGAAGATTAAACTAACACAACTTGATGACAATCATCCAAGCATTGCTACGACTTATCACAACATTGGTGGTGTCTATAATGATCAAGGCAACTATGACGACGCTCTATCGATGTATAACAAATCACTGAAGATTCAACTAACACAACTTGGTGACAATCATCCAAGTATTGCTGCGACATATCACAACATTGGTGTTGTCTATAATCATCAAGGCAAGTATGACGACGCTCTATCGATGTATAA